TCAAAGGAGGGACTTTGTAGAAAACGAAGCGTTTGAGAGAGGCGGGGCATAGAGGACCTACAATAATGTACAGTATTTGAAAAATAATGTGTTTTTTGAACATTAAAGCATGTCAACATATTCTGTTACACCAAATACACAAAATAATGATCTTTAAAAAAGCATCATATGACCCCTTTAATATAAATAATATAAAAGAGAACTTTTACTGCAGCAAATTTGTTTGTACAACAAAGAATAAATTGATTTACTTTCTTCGATGAAAAGTTTTTGTTCGTTGCAATAAAATGCAGTTTATTAAAAGCAACGCATTAATCAAGTTAATCAAACAAATTTCTTTTAGCTTATATTTCGACCCATCCATCAAATCCTAATTTCACTCCAAATGCCCATACTATTATGTCGCATTTAGCTTTTTAGTTTAGTACAAACACAAATCGGACATACTTGAAAGAGGTGTCTGCATTGTAAATTTGTTTTATTCGAGAAACTCTCCGGCCGATTCGAAAATGATTCATTTAGACCCGTTCTGTGAACCTCTTCAACCGATTCTTTGAAAAGATCCGATTCACAAGAATGATTCTTCAGAACGTGCACGTGCTTTTAGTTGTCAACTGAGTTCGGCAGACATGTCCCAACAGGTATTATATCAAAACATTCTCACATTTTGTGCTATAAAAAGCGTCTCGTAACAAAATACGTACCTGGATGAATGACCAATAACAAGTACAAGTTTAATTTGTTATATTACTCACTTTTCTGAAACGCTACCATGCGTCAAATAAGTGTTAATTAAGCTTAAATTAAAACACGCTGTTGTAATACATTCTTTCATCATGTGCAAAATGATCAGTATTATTTATCAGTATTATCAGTATTAATTATGCTTCATATTAGGCCTATCACACAACGCTCTGGAATGCTTGCTTCTCATTGGTCATTCACTTCAATCTGTGGTCAAGTATTTTTGTCAAATACACTATAATTGTTCCTGCATGGCTACCAGTTTTCTACATAATTGTGCTAGTTTCGTGTACCTGTAAATATAAATGTACATATAAAAATATTGTTTGTGTTGCATTATTTAGGTGAGAAGACAGCAACCATGAAGTTAGATGAGTGATTACTCAAACTAGAATGCAGTTCAGTGGTTATAATACAAAAGCATTTGATTGTAAAATGATTCCATGGGCCAATCAGAAAGAAGTATTCCTGACCTGTGTAATAATTTACAACATGAATCAAATTAATAACATTTATGTGGGTGGCCTTCGTCCATGCAGGACTTGTCGCCTTTGACAACAGCAATGATTTGGGAAAATTACTGGTTGTTCAACTTCAGGAATGTACAGTCTATTTATTGTTCATAAAGTGTAATATAACTCTGCTTTATTTTCTAATCCGTTCTCTCTGTGTGCTTTCTCAGATGTCATTTAAAGACCTGATGAAAGTGTTAGGGCTGGGAGCCGTAGCTTTCGTTCTGGGGGTGGAGTGGCTAAACTGGCTGACGCGGCATCTGAGAGACTCTCACGGGCCCCTGAAAGAAGTTCTGTTCTTCCCTTCACCCCAAGTCTGCGTTGAGCACCTGTTCACACGCCATAAACGTTTCCCCTGGTAGTTGGATCAGCTTTTTCTAATCTAAATGTGCAATAATGTGCAAAATAATTAATTTCTCCACCTTTCTCTGCACCCTCAGCGCATGCCCCCTTCCCCATGGGGTTGAGACGTCCTTCTCTAGGCTGCTCGGACATCTCCTCTCTGCACGTATGTCACTGGACCTGTGTGTGTTCTCCTTCTCTCACATGGAGCTGAGCAGGGTGATTCTCCTGCTGCACAAACAGGGAGTCGTTGTACGAGTGGTTACGGACAGAGACTACATGACCATCACTGGATCTCAGATCGGCGCCCTCCGTAAGGCAGGTGTGTTGTCGCATAATGTGATTTCACAGGGTTGGTTCACGCCAAAATGAAAATTCTGCCATTGTTAATAGTAGTGAAGATGTCAGTCATCAAACTCAAGAAAAGGACAAAAAAAAACTACCAGAAAAGTAAGATGCTTGAGCACCTGTTCACACGCCATAAACGTTTCCCCTGGTAGTTGGATCAGCTTTTTCTAATCTAAATGTGCAATAATGTGCAAAATAATTAATTTCTCCACCTTTCTCTGCACCCTCAGCGCATGCCCCCTTCCCCATGGGGTTGAGACGTCCTTCTCTAGGCTGCTCGGACATCTCCTCTCTGCACGTATGTCACTGGACCTGTGTGTGTTCTCCTTCTCTCACATGGAGCTGAGCAGGGTGATTCTCCTGCTGCACAAACAGGGAGTCGTTGTACGAGTGGTTACGGACAGAGACTACATGACCATCACTGGATCTCAGATCGGCGCCCTCCGTAAGGCAGGTGTGTTGTCGCATAATGTGATTTCACAGGGTTGGTTCACGCCAAAATGAAAATTCTGCCATTGTTAATAGTAGTGAAGATGTCAGTCATCAAACTCAAGAAAAGGACAAAAAAAAACTACCAGAAAAGTAAGATGCTATATTCCAGAAAGAAAAAAAAAAATCAGACAAAAAGTATAATAATATATATAGTTATAATTAAAGTATAATAAGTATGTTTAATTTAAAAAATGTATGTATATACATTAGTGCTGTCAAACGATTAATCGCGATTATGTGTGTACTGTGTATATTTATTGTGTATAGATAAATAAATACACAAACCATCATACATGTATATATATTTTTTTATATATAAATTAATATATATTCATATATAATATATATAAATATAAATATTTTATATATAAACAACATATTTTTCTTAAATATATACATGCATGTGTGTGTATTTATATAAACACTTTGGATGCGATTAATCATTTGACAGCGCTATATATATATATATATATATCTTAGGGGCATTTTCTCCGAGGAGGACACAGAGGCAGTGCCTCCACAAAATATTGGATGAGAAAAAAATTTGTAGTACAAAAATAAAACAACGCAAATGTTAATGTAAAAATATTAAATGGATTTTTTTCTTTTTCTGAGTTATTTAACCAAGAAAATGTGACTGGGAAATTACATTTGATTAAAAAAAATAATAATAATAATTTGAAGAATTTGTCTAATAATGTTGGGTATTTCTTTTAAATAATACTCTTGATATATTGCAGGATTTACAAGCAGCTCATAAATTGCTGATACAGTATATACTGTATGGCCAAAGCATATACTGTGTGTGTGTATATATATATATATATATATATACATATATAAGGAGCAAAATAATAATCTTATAGCTGAAGCGTTACTGAAGTATTAGTAATTTCCCAATATTGAAGTATTACTTAAAAAAACATAGAATGTCTATGATGTTTGTGACTTAAGATGTTATTAATCTTCATTATTATAAAATTAGTAGAGTTAAAATCAAATGTAAAAAATTCTAAGAATTTTTTAAAAATGTAAAAATTCTAAGAATTAAAAAAAACTATTCCATCATATTTCGAGGTTTTTACTGACTCTGCAAACCTTATCATTGTATTTAGCATGGGCTTGTTCTCACAACTCTGTGGTATGCAGTATGAAACGATTCATAGTCAGAACTTGTACGACTGTTGCAGGTAGTAAAAACGGTCATGTTATTTCAGTACACACTGCTGTAACTTCTGCGAGCTGTTACACCTGCCTACTGCGGACTGTGATGATGCATTAGAGCAGACTTAAAGGATCTAGATGATTCACACATGGAGGGGTTTGACAGATGTCGAAATCGCATCTGTTGTTAATTTGCAAGTGGATTTGGAGCTAATTGATATTTTCCAATCTGTTTTTGACCTCTATTACAGGCATCTGTGTGAGGCACGAGATGAGCGCAGCTGTTCATATGCACCATAAGTTTGCATTAGTGGACGGCAGGAAATTGATCACTGGCTCCCTCAACTGGACCCTAACAGCAGTCCAGAGCAACAAAGAAAACGTCATGGTTACGGAGGAGCTGGAGCTTGTGCGGCCCTATCAGCAGGAGTTTCAGAAGCTGTGGGAGGCCAGTGATCCAGCCAATCACAAACCTCATTGCACCAATGGGCAGCTAAATTGATAGGCTTTACATTTACTTCTTTTTCTTTACAGTTTACATTACACAGTTCTACACAGAGGAGTTTATTTTATTTGTTAGATTACTTTTAGAAGTCGAAAGCTAGTTTTCTTTCTTCTGATTGTTTGTCAGCCTCTTAATGACAATTTCGGCACCTTTAGGTGTTTTCCAGTTTTGATGCAAAATGTTTTGTTTTTTTATTGTGGGCTTGAAAGATTTATTATTTAGTTCAATTTAAGAGTTCAGTTAATAAAACTTTTTTAAAGATGTGCTCTAGTGTAAGTAAAAAACTAGTTCAAATAAACCGATCTGCTAAAATAATACATATCTTTGCTCATAAACTGTGTGCAAAGCAAGCTGAAACCTGTGAGTTTGCGTTTCATAGCCATGCCTTTGATTGCTCAATTCCTGACGGTGTGTGCCTTTTGTTTTCCTCTTTTGTGACTAGAAGATTTTAGATAAGCTTGTTTCTGTATATGCACATGAATATAATTTTTTTTTTTTTT